TCCTGGTGGTCACAGGGGCCATGGCCACCTGCACCGGCCCGTTGCCCTGGGCGAGGCTGGTCACCACCGTCTGGTACATGCTCACGGGGATCTGGACCAGCCCTGGGGAGACAAAGGGGACACTGTCGGTGGGGTCGGGCCGGGCCTTCCTGGTGCCGGCTGACAGGGCAACCGGCTCCAGTTCTTCAGGGGATCACTGCGGCCTCAGGTAATCGCGTACCCACTGTCCAGGCGCAAACACAGCCCTTTTCTCGTCCCATTTTATTTCTTTCAAATAGAGTCTCAGGAAAGAAAAGTTAGGAGAAACTGTGGAAACGTGCCCTGGAGCAGGGCCTCCCCAGCCTGTGGAGGGAGGGAGGCCCCTGCCACCTCCACCTTTAGGACGCAGAGCCAGCAGGTGTGAATCACCCCCTCCCCCAAGCCCGTCCCTCCGTCCCTCCCACTGCCTTCTTCCTCCTCCAGGAAAGGCCGCCCTGAATTTTAATATTCTGCTACACTGACTTCTTCGACCTTCTTTCTGCCTATGTTCGAGTTTCTCCTAGCTTATAAAAACGTCCCCTCCTCAACCCTATCCTGTCTTCTGGCCACTGTCCTTCCACTCAGAGTCAGCTTATTTAAAAAAGCCTGGGTTGTTAGTTTTCTGTTTTCAGACTTCACAGACCCATAAAACCTTTCAATACATTTTGGAGTCAGCATAAAAAAAAAAAAAAAAGACCCCAACTACCTCACTATTATTCACAGTAGAAAGGATGGTTTAACACAAAGAAAGGAAGAAGCATGTAATCTCAGAAAAACACAGTCCTTCCTAAGAAGGGAAAAGTTGATAATTTAACATATTTAAAAAAGGGATTTCCAGTTAAATACGGCAGAATAAGTGCACATATCAAACTCCTCTTCCTCCTAAAACTAAAATTACAACGCAGAGGGGAAAAAGTATATAAATGAGGGATAGTAACATATTTTTGGACGACACAAAGCAAATGTAAAGTGAATCTGACTTATCAAAGTGGAAGCTGCAACTGTGCCCACAGAGGCTCAAGGACGGAGGCCTGGCCACTGGAGGAAGGGGAAGGAGGTAGGGCCAGGAACTAGCCAGAAGTCCACAGCCAGCTGAGAGGGCCAGTGGGTCCCACCAACACCAGCGCCAGACTGTTGTTGACAGGACATCTGAAGTTTATCTACTATTATTGAGAAAATGACCTGAGAGGCCCAAGAAAAGTGATAGCTATATTTAGCAGGTGGGGAGCTAAGAGGATGGGAGGGAGAAGGGACAATGAAAACTCTGGCCTGCTTGCTGTCCTAATCCTTACCCAAGGCCTACAGGTCGCCTAGCTCCGCCCTGCGCGCCCTGACGATGGGGGTCGCAGTGTCTCACTCACACAGAAGGAGCAGAGACAATGTGGGGAGAAGAAAACAAAAACAAATGCCCCCAAACTCTGATCTTCAGAGAGAAACGAGATTTGTATGATGAAAATGAGATGCTCTTACTTAAAAATATGAAAAAAATTTCTAGATAAAAGATCAAATAGATAAAATACATTCTGAAGATTAGAATTTGATAAAGTCAAGGAAATCTTCCAGAAAGTAGAAAATATGAAAAGATGGAAAATAGAAGAGAAAATATGAGACCTAACAGCTCCAACCTCTGAAAACAGAATTCCAGAGAGAAGAGAGACAAACAGAAGACAGAAAATTATCAGAAACATTGTAAATAAATTTCGACAACTGAAAAACATGAGTCTCACACTAAAAAGGCCCACTAGATGCTCCGTACAACACATGAAAAAAAGATCCAGATTATAAGACATATCTTTTCAAAATTTTGGGACACAAGGGATAATAAAGCAAAGATTCTAAAAGATTGCAGAAAGAAAAAAAAAAAGGTTATATACAAAGATCTGGAAATCATAATATTGTTAGACTTCTCAAAAATGAGCCAGGAGGGTAGATGATGAAGAAGAATATCTTCAAATGTCTGAGAGAAAATGCCTTTCAGCCCAGAATTCTCTATCCAGCTCATAAAAAATGATACCCATATCAATAAAGACCGCGGCAGAAGAAAGACATCTTTAGACTTGTCAAGGGCTCTAAAAACTGGTCACTCGTGTACACCTTCTTAGGATGCCCTGAAGGATACGCT